GATGGCGGCCTTGGCAGAGGGCAAGCAGAAGATGAGTCGCAAGGGCCCAACTCCTCTTCCGACGGATCCAATTGTTGTGCCCGCCCGGCCAGCCTTCTGAGGATCGCTTCTCTGAACAACTGACCAAAAAAAATATCAAAATCGCCCATCGTCCAGTTGTTTACTCAGCGAGGAGCTGTGATAAACTGAATTTCTCAGGTCTTGTTCCCGTATATATAGCGATCGGAAAGTGGAGGGGAGAGAGTGGGAGTGGGGAAAAAAACCGGGCCGGGCGCGGGCTTCGACCGTGGAGGCGGGAGGCCGGAGTCCTCCGCGGGCCCGGCCTTCGGCCCTTCAGGGAGAGAGTGGGGAGAGCATCGACGAGGCATTTTAATCGAAAAAAGGGAAGAAAAGGGGAAAAAAAGGAAAAAAAAAAAAAGAGGCATCCCCAAAACCGCCGAAACCGTCCCCCACCGCCCCCCTACCCAAAATCGCCCGCTCCCCAGCCGCCCACCCGCCCTCTCCGCTTCCGGGGGGCGGCGGTAGCCGACCCCCTCCGCTCCGCGTACGTCTAGCAATTAAGTTGTTTGCGCCTGGGGAATTTCTCTTACTTGCCCAATGGGTTCTAAGGTAAAAATCACGCCTGTTATCTACATTTTCCATAGTTTTCCCGTACACAGAATTGACCATGCGCTTAAAGTGATTTTTCTCGAATGTGTCCTTAGCATTCTCATATTTGTATTGAGGTCTATATATTTTTTCAGCCAACGAGACTGCTTAAACTTGAGGACGCGATGAATTTGAGTTACAATTAGACCATTATTTATGGCCTGCTTGAAGTTTCTATAGTGTAATACGTACTTGTCTTTATGATTTAAATTGGGAACCAATTTGGGGATTTCTGTTTTGGAATTAGGTGGAATTAAATTCTCTACTAAAAATGGCAAATCAGCGTGTTTATCATGAAGGTGATGCGGATATGTTACATCAACTTCTAAAACATACCCATAATCCCCGATATCATCAACAGACATAATATCGAGTTGATTAATTTCCTCAGCCGACAACCAAACAAATTCTCCCGTGGGCAGAGGTTGACTCATGCTATAACCATAGAGATTTGTCGCATCGATATAATGTATGGAAGACTTCGGCTCGAAAGGATTATATTCGGACAAATACGGGTTATTGGCGATATGTTTTCTTTCAACGCATTGGCTTATACCACCGCGTATACTATTTTTGAAGAAATTAATCATATCTATATCTGTCAGTAGTTCCAACTCCACCTTAGTGTACCGCAACATCGCATCCCATGACAGACCTGGAGATGTATAATATTGCGCCGGATCTAGTTTATATGCTTTAAGTGATACATCCCTAAAATTTTCAAATATATCACACAGCATTAAAACATCTGATTTTAAGTATAAATCAGAATAGGATCCCAAAGTTTGACATTTAAATACATTCCAAACTTTCTGAGCCCTAGCATATTCCTCATCAGTTATGTGGCAATTATTTAACTTTTGAAGGTAAATTGGGGTGATCTAATTTCATTATATTATCCATGAAATTATATGGAAACACCCCTTCTGCCTCATTAAATCGAATTTTTCTTTTTCTGCAAAACATTTCCTTGTTTCAACAAAAAATTCTGATGGCAGGTTTTCTGACAGTCCAGCCAATGAATCAGCTAAAAATCTGTAACTATCCAAAAATCTAAGTTTTATGTAATTTTTTCTCAACATACCATCTCTATCTACATAGCTATGGGTGTACAATGGTTTAGTGAACGAAATATATTTTTCTTTATTTTGTGCAATAACTTCGGTCCTCTCTCCTTCGCCATACAATTCTTTAATAAATAAATGACTGTCATACCCACTCAAATTGTGGAAAAAGATTGGAACAAATTGTGGGATTTTATAATTTAAATTACAATTGCTATGCGCGGCGCCAGGTGTTTTCTTACCGGTAACATGACAATAATCTCTTACTTCAGCGTCACCTTCCTGAAAAGGCTCATCGCAAATAGAGCATATAGTCGACGAGTTAAAATCATCTATTTCATCATTAGACAGCTGATGCATCGGAACAACGTCTTTTAAATAGGTATTATAAATAGTTAAAACATCGTCCTCTAGCCGTTTCACGAAATCGCTACCAGCATTATCACCCGTAAAAGTTACAAATTTCGTCAATGAATTATCAAACGAACATTTAATCAAATATGCAAAAGAATATGGTTCATGTTGGTATGTCGGGATAGTAAACTTTTTTTCCGGATCTGGTTCGCAAGTATCTATTGGTTTTAAAATCGATTCAAAATCAGCGTAAATTACAAATGGAACCCTAAGTTGCTTATCATAATTTTGAAACTTAAGTATGTTTTCAGGTACATAATTACCGCGTTTGTCTTTTTTCAGCTCCACTGATGGCGTGCTGGTGTATATATGATTACAATCGCGCAATTGGTGCCGCAATAGTATGCTTTCAGATCGGAAATAAAGTAAACAGCCGTCACAAAAAAATTTTTTATGTTCATTTCTAGTTACTTGATTCGATACCAATCTGGAAATATTTTTAATCCAACAATAATGACTATTTCCTGAATCCTCCGTTATTAATAGTAAATTTATATGGTGACCTAACCTCCTAGAGGAATATCGTAATGGGCCTACTATTTCGAATTTAACCTTACCATTTTCATAACTACGTTCCAAACCATAAACATTAACACTTATGTCATTTAAATCTTCAAATTTTGAAATGTCTTTAAGCTTCATAGGGAATTCAATACCATCAACATTCAGCACGGTCTCGAAGTGTGGATGCGATGTCGTTAGGTGAACATTGTCCCTCGCTGGATATAGCGCCGACGTGATGGCCCAAGCAAAGCAATACGCATCATTATTTTGGACATTAACTACACCCTTCTTGGTTTCAATAAACTTGGGGAGCTTAATGTACGAGCAGCCGCCTAATGGGGAGTACTTATTTATATTTACTTCTAAAAATAGTACTTCCCGTATTGTCCAACCTGAAACAATTAGTAATATATTAGTAAACGCTATACTATGAATTATAAAACTACTATACCTGAATCCTTATGTTGAAAGTCTGCAGTTTGAGATACTAGTCGATTTATGCTGTTAAAAGATTTGATTTCAGAAACATCTTGGCTCTCCAATGCATAAGTAGCAAAGGCCTCTACATTAACTTTAATGGCATTATGGGCCTTCAGAACAACTTTTAACAATTTCAATACTCTTAATTTTATCGTATCAAAAAATGTTACATAATCTATATGTTTTTCATCACATTTAAGCCTGTAAGTTGCGATTCTGCACTCTTAATTAAATATATACCATCAGCATGAATTGCACAGGCTTTTTCTTTATGCCCAAGACTCCTCATATGCGACGTCATCTGATTGGTAGGGACATCTACATTACATGATTCACATCTTCTATTATGGGCTTTTGAGTCTACGATGCGATGCGTATGAACTTGTGGAACTCGCATTACCCGGGCTTTTTTTTCAGGTGGAACATCATTACTGGGAGTAGTAGATCTCTTCGTACCTCCGGATGATTCGCCGATGCGGTTAGATATCAGCTTACAACTTTTATTTTGATGTCGACGTAAATTATCTACCCTTGTATATGTTAAACCACAATTGCACTTATACATGTTTATTATTTTTATGATTATTTCGATATTAGATGATAGAACTCCCGATAGGCTTAAAGCTTACGATATTTGTACGGATTTGGATGCGGTTCCTACTATATATATATCCTCTAGAAAATTCCACCACCTCTTCCTAGCTCCTCCCTCGATATTTCAGTTGGGTGCGTCTATCTCTGGCGCAGCTACCCCTTCTTAGTCCCTTACCACGATATTTCGGTTAAGCTCGACCGTCTCTAACGCAGGCTAAGCATTCTAGGCACGACGGCCGAGAGTTAAGGACGTGCTGCCAACAGTAATCACTAGGAGATGCTTAGATAACATTCACTACATTGCATACAGTAATTACTACCTAAGGTGTACTTACACTTTAATATGTATGGTGTAATGAGATGTATACCCTGTGGGTAATTGGGAGGTACTTATTATGCAATTACAATCATTACAGTATGGCGTGTACATGGTAATTGGGAGGTACTTACTGTGCAATTGCACTTATTACAGTACATGCGGTAATTGGGAGGTACTTGCTAATTGCGCGAAGGGTGGGGGTACTTAGGATAATTACTAATTACCGAATTGCCTCTCTCTGTACCTCTTTCTCATTTCCAGAACCGGCCAATTACATCTACTAACATTAGTTTGCAATTTTCGTAACGAACCAATGGCTAAATCAGCATCTCGAATAGCTAAATTACATAGTCTAATACATCTATTGATTTGATTTTTCCAAATTTCTGTCTCTGAAGGAGACAAATTTTTAGTTTTATTTAAAATTTCACACTCTTCCTCCTTAAATTTTTTAATGAGCTCATCGCTTATAGAACCAATTTCATCGGAATTAATTTTTTTTTCGTTAAATTTAAACAATATAAATATATATATATATAAAAAATAAAAACTCACAACTAATTTTCAATGATCTCGAAGGAAACGGCGGGCTTTGGCTTTCCCACGTCTACCAGCTTGCGAAACACTACTGCATACTTCAGCGGCAAATCTTTGATTATGTCCCGGTAGGCTTCAGTTACTCTCTGGGACAGAAATGTCACCTCTTCTTGTAACTCGAGCAGCACTGCCTCTCAGGCACGTATCCAGGATTTGTTTTCGGGGGGGGTCCAAATCCTGGGTGTGTATATATATATATATATATATATATATATATATGTGTGTGTGTGTGTGTGTGTGTGTGTGTGTGTGTGTGTGTGTGTGTATGTGTGTGTGTGTGTGCGCGTGCGTGTGCGTGCGCGTACGAGCGTGGGGGCGTGTAAAAAAACAAAGTCAAGGAAAATAGCGTTTTATTAATGAACATTGAAAAGTGCACACTTTTATAAAACTAATCTACGATTTTTTTTATTTGCCATAACATTTATAATTGAGTCGACACTAACATCTACGTCCCAATGAATCGAAAGTACAGCTAAGGAGTTTAACCTCTCGTGTTGCATTTTATTTCGAAGGAAAGTCTTCACTCTCTTCATGGTCGAAAACGACCTCTCAACCGTAGCAGTGGTCACTGGTAGGGTTGATAAAATGGTCAGTAAATGATGAATGATTGGGAAGAAGTTTTTGTTGCATATTTCAAGGACGCCGAGTGTTTCAAGGTTTGGTTCTTTAGAAATTTGATTACACCATATATAGTATTCTCCTTGGAGAGCAGACACTGAACATTTTTCAATAAAAAATATAGATAAGGTTTGAAGCTGAGTGGCTTTATCAGGCGATGCAAACCCTGGTAGTAGGGCTTGAAATGCTGATAATACTGTTGTTGGAGTCCCGAAGCGGTCTTGTAAATTAACTATCAGCTGGTCGGCGCATGGTAAAAAAATAGCAACTTTAAAGTATTCTTCAGTAGAATTAGTTATAGGATTGGCACGATGGCTCTGTCTGCCAGTCAAACGAGGAATTTTTAGTTCACTCCCGAACAGTTCTTCTAAAAGCTTCGATGCGGTATTAAAAAGTTGTTTGAAAATTGATTCTCCATTATCTCTTGTTTTTTGTAAGGAAGCTATCACATCATTAGCCTGGTCAAGAGCCGAGACCAAATCATGGGAAGGACTCTGCAGGTACTTGGATAGAGGTAACGTGAAACTAAGAAATTTTTCACATACTAACAGCGACACAATAAATTCGCTCTTTTCGATCGTAGCCAAAAACATAATGGCTTTAGAGGAAGTATCTCTTGTTTCGTTAGAAATTATTTGTAACGCAGACACAATGGGCTTTAGCAGTTCCACGAATACCAAAATGCTGTCATGTCTTTCTATAAAACGAGTTTCACACAAACGAATTAATCTTGTTTTCTTGGATTCAGGCAAAAGTTCTGTTATTTGCTGTTTCAGGATGTGATTGGCACGAGAGTTGTTTCTGAAAAAGTTAGACACTTCGTTCACGACACCAAGACAGTTCCTAGCTGCTGGTAGCGATAAAGCTTTTGACAAAGCAAGATTTAATCGATGACTTGCACAGTGTACGTAAATAGCTTTCGGATATAACTGTCGAATTCTAGTTTGAAGTCCACTAACGTGCCCGGCCATATTTGCTGCACCATCGTATCCTTGGCCCACACATTTGTTCATGTCAAGGTTCATTTTCCTACATTCTTCAAGAACCAAATTGCATAGACTTTCAGCAGATTGATCGGACACTGGCACAAAAGACAGAAAATCTTCACGGATAATAGGTTTTGCGTTTTCTTCAGACAAATATCTTACACAAAACGACATTTGCTCAACACCAGACACATCCATAGTTTCGTCGACTAATATAGCAAAATATCCAAATTTGTTAATTTTTTCAATCAGTTTTTTCCGAATTAAAGACGCAGCTATATCTAGAATCTCATTTTGGATTATTGGGCTTACATACGTAGCGTTCTTATTACTTGAAGTAAAATGTTTCTTCAATGAATATGAATCGTTTCCTCCATTTGCCGTAAATCTCAAAAGAGCGCGAAATTTACCATCTTTCTTTTCAGGATTTTCTAGATTAAGTGGTCCACTATCTTCATCGCCACGCAGGGGGAGTTCTTGTTGACCACAAAAAAGTACAGCTTTTATGATGGGCTTTAATATTGAACGATTTTCCTCGCGTTCCTGTTGGAGTTTTGAATTTAATTGAGAGACCACATCGAAAACTTGTCCTGATGTTACTTTCATATAATTGTCTGCTAATATCACACACTCCTTATGGTAATTGGTTTTTGCGTGGTTTTCAAATTTTTCAGTTGCTTTCTTCCACTTTTTGAAAGGAACATTAACAAATATTCCTAGAGTTTGATGAGAGCCTTTGCCTGCCCATTCGCGACTAAAAAGCAGACATATCTTGCAGAAAACCCCATCACTGATTTTTGAATATGCAAGCCAAGGCCACCTATCAATCCAGGTGGCTTGAAATTTCAAAGATTTTTGATGCCCAGAAGAATTGATAATGGAAATGGGATATTTATGTGATTTAAGAACCATAGCGGTTGACAGAATTTTTCTTTTTTCGTTGTTATCTAGGGTTGACACGTCTACTTTTCCCAAGTCAAAATAATCGAGCGAAACCGGAGGAACGCCTCCCATTTGAGAAGTTGAAGCCATGGAGTAATAATAATCTAAAATAAAAGATCAAAATAAACATTGAAACATTATTAATAAAGTACTGAGGTGAGGTATAAGGTCTGAAGCTCGCTAGGCCATCCATTCATACCGAGAGGAGAGCCGCGTGATGCGTAAACCATAAGATCTTGATTTTAGTACTTACCAAGATATTGAGTTTTTCCTTCGATTTTTTCCAAAGCAGTTCCGACCTCTTCTTCTTTATCAATACTGGGAATGGATGCTGAAGCGAGAAAATGTCTAGTTATGCATAGCCTCGAAAGGTTACATAAAATAAATAAAATAGTTTGTGTAAAAAGAATTGATATGATGGGCATATCGCACAAAGACGAAATTTGAGCACGACGCCATATGTGGAGTGCTCAATCGTCCAAGTGCGATATGGACAATCCACTCGAGTTGTACACTATATTTTTTCTACGACCCACTAACGAAAGTCTACAAATATTAAAAATTATTTTAGGTTATTAAAATAAAATAATTACTTTAAAAATTATTTATGACTTTTACTAATTTATAAAATAAAATGAACAAGAAAAAAAAACAGAAAAAAATTTCATTTTATTTTTCTCCATCCGAGTTTCGAACTCGAGTCTTCCGTGTGGAAGGCAAGAACCCTAACATCAGGACCATCTACGCGTTTATTTTTTTGCTTCAATAGTCGTAATTAAATTTATTTCATACAGTTTTATTTAAATTAACAAATTATTTATAATTATAAACGAAATAAAAATAGAAATTATATTATTTATCGATTCTAGACAAGAATAACTCATTGTAATGTATGTTTAATCTCAATAACTAAAAATATACTGACAATTAGTTTGACAGAATTGTCACTTATTTAAAATTTTCCAAATAATAGCAGTCAATTGAGCAAAATATGAACTGTGATTGGTGGATTTCATTTTTTTGTAGTGTTCACGTTACCTAAAATGGTTATGAAATACATTCGTTCAGTTGAAGGCAATAGCATACTTTTTCGTTTAGTAATAATATGTGCGTAGATAAGCTAATATCCATGTGGGTGTAGAAAAATATTATTATTTGTTGAAAAAATCAGACCTTACCTGCCTTTTCCCCTTTTAAATTTTTCATTCCAAAAAATTTTGTTATTTTACTCTGCGAATTTGAGTCGGAACTCAACCTTTTCATCTTGATAATGGATCGTTCGTTACTGCGTTAGTCAATTAGTTTTTAATTTCACCCACGATCAACTACACAACATTCAAACTTAATATTTAACGGTCTTGGTGACTTATAGTTAAAATCAAATGAAATATGGACTACACTAGGAAGCACTAGGTTCTTAAAGGTTGAAGTACAATGCTCGACTAGCTATTCAAATACCAGTGTGACTGTAAACGTCAGTGCCGCCCCGCCCGTTAGCGAAGCTACGGAAATAGAGGTGTTGCCAAATGCCAACCTAGCGGATTTCCAGCTAAATTTAGTGGAAGGAAATAATTTTAGGCCTAGGGGACTGAAAACCAATTTCGTGGATAGCGAGATTTTTAAAGGCATTATATGATTATTAATTGTTTCGGGGGGGGTCCGGACCCCCTGGACCCCCCCCTTGAATACGTGCCTGCTGCCTCTCCGTATTTTCCCTTGGTTATTTTCGCCGCTATAATTTGGTACGGCTGATCTGGAGTTAGGCTGCTCAGTTTCCTTATAGGCTTGTTTTCTTTCTCTATCAAAGATATTTCTTTTAATGATTGAAATTTTTTACTTTCCATCTAGAACAACATTAAAAAAATAATTGGCTTTTTGTTTTGTAAAATATTAATAAAGAAATATTAAAACATTCGTTATGAAAATATCTAAAATTGTTTAATTAAATATTTTAAAAATATTAGAAATAGATTTCAATTGTTATAAATTTTTTAAAAAATATTACAGCCTTCTGTTTATGAAAATATCCAAAAATTGTTTAAATATTTTAAAACATTAAAAAATAACTTACTTTTAAATTTAAAAATATTAGAAATAGCTTCCAATTGTTATGAATTTTTTAAAAAATATTACAGCCTTCTGTTTATGAAAATATCCCAAAATTGTTTAAATATTTTAAAACATTCAAAAATAACTTACTTTTAAATCTGTACTGAACACCACACACACACATACACACACACATACACACACACATACACACACACATACACACACACATACACACACACATACACACACACATACACACACACATACACACACACATACACACACACATACACACACACATACACACACACATACACACACACATACACACACACATACACACACACATACACACACACATACACACACACATACACACACACATACACACACACATACACACACACATACACACACACATACACACACACATACACACACACATACACACACACATACACACACACATACACACACACATACACACACACACACATACACACACACACACACACACACACACACACACACACACACACACACACACACACACACACACACACACACACACACACACACACACACACACACACACACACACACACACACACACACACACACACACACACACACACACACACACACACACACACACACACACACACACACACACACACACACACACACACACACACACACACACACACACACACACACACACACACACACACACACACACACACACACACACACACACACACACACACACACACACACACACACACACACACACACACACACACACACACACACACACACACACACACACACACACACACACACACACACACACACACACACACACACACACACACACACACACACACACACACACACACACACACACACACACACACACACACACACACACACACACACACACACACACACACACACACACACACACACACACACACACACACACACACACACACACACACACACACACACACACACACACACCCACACGCACACGCATACACACACACACACACACGCACACGCATACACACACACACACACACACGCACACACACACACAAGTTATTAATAATATGCTATTAGGTAGGTTATAACTACTACTTCAGCTGTCGCTTGTGTACTGAATGTTTCAGGTCGAGTTTCCCTGTATTTATCTCAAATCATATTCATGCGTTGGCGGGGACCCGATACGAGAAATCCTGCTTTGTTGTTTTCGACGTACCAATTTAATTAGACGATTTGAATGCAAACCGCACGAGTTTCCTGCTTTTTATTTTTTAATCAGCGAAAGCTCTCGTTTTTTTGGGACTTTTTAAGTCCCAAAACAATATGATGTGTAGAGTAAAGTTTTGTGTACGATTTGTAAATTATGGGTTAAATATTTTTAACTTATTTTAAAGTGTTTTGTTTAATAATAATTGATTGATTTACATATAAATGCCAATTTTACATTTTCTTCCCGAATTATCATATTTATCTTATGCATATTTATATATTATTATGTAGTTATAGTGCTTTATTCCCTAAATGGAAGTTTATTCATTTTTTCTTAAGACTATTAGTCAAATTTTATACTTATTGTTAATATACATGTGTTAATGTTTTAATACTTATTATTAATCTCTCCTCCCTTTCCAAATCAGTTAAATTCTCCGAGCATTTGAGAAGCCTCGGCGTCTCTATTCCCTTAGGACTAAGAGAGTCTAAAATTAGCTCGACCATGCTATTAAGGGATAATTTTTATTCTTTTAATTGAATTTTTTTATTATTTTTATTTGCCACTGGGGAATGGATGTTCCTTCAGGACTCCAGGATCCTTTGGCTGGTGACGGTGCTGCCCTAATCCCTTAATAGTATATTAACAACAGTAGCTAAAGACCTAACATTTAGTGACAAATGGTGGTCTCTAGGCAGTTGGTTGTTACAATATTTCAATTTTGTTTGATCAATAAGTTTTTCATATTTATTAATAAACGAAATTAAGCTGGGTAACAAGTATCCAAAAGTTACAGTATCTTCACCATGTAACAAATCTAGCGTTAAACCTAAAGGTTTCATAACTAAGCAGTATTTTTCTAGTTTCCTTAAAAGGTTCTAACGTTAAACTTTATAGCAAAACCGGAAGTTTTTCTTTTGCTTGCAAAATCTGTGTAACTGCATCATAAGTGGAGTTCCATTTGGTTGCCCTTGGAGAGCTCAATGTATGTCCTAAAATTTTAATTAAGATTTCATTGCTTTTTGGTTTATTGGATATTTTCCAGAACTGAGCACATTTATTAAATGCATTCTTTTCTCTAGTTCGTAATGTTGAAATTGATATAACAGTATTTTTATAATCAGTGGTGGCTACTAAATTCAAAGTATGTGTGGCACATCGCAAGTGTTTGGGTAATGGAACGTCCACAAGTTCGTGACGCTAACACCGGAAAAGAGTTTGCAGGATTTTTCCTGTAAAAAAGCGCCGCAAGATGCTGAATCCCGACCGTCTGTATACTGGATGAATCGCCAAATTCATCCTTGGCGATGAGAATTTTTTTTTGGCGTTATTTTAAATTTTACAGGGTGCACCAAACAAAACTACAAATCATAATAAAATAATTATTTTACTATTTATTATTTAAGTAGGTACCTATTGCAGTTGTGTCTTAAATATTGTAATACTGAAAAATACTTATTTTATTTCTAATTAAACAGGGTAGCTCAAAATATTTCGATTATATATTTTAATAGAGATAATATGGATTGTGGTAAATAATTTAAAAGTATCCGAATGCCGAAAAAAATATCCGGTACCCGGATACTTACAAATTTGGTCACGGATACGGATACCGGATACAAAATTTGAAATGTATCCGGATACAGCTTTCGGATACACATAAAGTATCCGGATACTGTATCCGGATACAGAAGTATCCGGATACTACCCAACTCTGGAACGTACCTATCCAAAATTAAATGCAATCTGATGGTTTTAAAAGCAAAAAATAAAAAAATAAAAAAAAAATGTCTGCTGATGGAATAGATAACAGCAATCAAATAGTTTCTAATTCCTCTACATCGGAAGTTCCCAACCTTTTCTGGGCCGCCGCCCCCTTTAGAAGAAAAAAAAAGGTTTTATTACCTCTTTGACTACCGGCACAACTAATTCCTCACCAATTGTGTGTATTTTTCCAGCTTTTGCGATTAATAATGAAATGTTATATGATGCTCGTAAAAAGGTTTAA